GCACATATATTTATCCATATGCCAAAAATGTGACAATTTGAAAAGTTTTTTCAGGATTTGGACCTTGCAGTTTATCTATTGAGTTAGTCTTGTGTGATGGATGTGAGATTTATTTCAGCTCTTCCTCTGGGAAATGGGGGTGGCTGCTGTCATTTCTAGTGCGTGTCTGAAGATTTTTCTGTGCAGGAGCTGAAAGCCAAATGTGAACTTTTCTATGTGTGAATTACTTCCCAGAGGAGAACATCTTTTCCAGCTGTAGCTGAACACTGGGGCAATAATGGAAAATAAGCCTCGATCCTTAAAGAAAATATCAGTAGCAGACAGTAAAGATTTTGCTGGAACAAACCTGATGTGAGCAATATTAAGATGGCAGCAGAGGGTTTTCTAGAGCAATTAGTTCATGTTTTTTTCCTAATATTTTTTTTCCTGTAGAGTGCACTGCAACCAGCCACATATATGCATAAAACTAGGAAGTTTTGAATTAATGGATTCCTTATACTGAGTCATGTCATTTAATAACTCTCCATGAGCAGTGCTTGATAGCACAAGGGACTTACTGAATTTTTTGCAACAGCATAGCCAAAGTAAGTTGTGTGGACAAAGTTCTTCTGCTGGAAGTTGAGGAGCACTGCTAAAGTGGGCTTTTCCCCTCTTAGTGTCCACACAAGGTAGTATGATGTAGTTTTGGTTCCAGCAGGCAACTAGACACCCTACTGACAGTGTGAGGGGGAGGAGAATCGGAAAAGAGAAGATAAAACTCATGGGTTGAGATAATAAGAGTGATAATTTAAGCAAAGTATGATAATAGAAATTATAATAGCAAAAACAATAATAGTAATGAAAAGGGGACAGAGAGAGAAATAAACCCCAAGAAAAACAAATTATGCACGTAAGTTGTTCACAACTCATTGTCCAGTGCCCAGCTTGTCCCCTGGCAGCAATCAATTTATTATCAGTACTATTCTTAAAGCTAAACACAGTGCTGTGCCAGCTGCTGAGAAGAAAACTAACTCTAGTCCAGCCAAAATCAGGAGAGATGTGTTGCTGCCCATGGATTGAGCCTGAGATGGAGATGGAGACGGATCTGTTCAAGCCATGCTTACTAACCAAGCTGAAACTCAAGAATGGGTTTTGCTGACATTTTCTCTCACTCACCATGATGGATATTTGCGATGCAGTGTCCTCTGCAAAATTCAAATAGAACATGGCAATTGTGGCCAAATGGCTCCATGGCCATTCTCCTCCAGGATAAACACACTAGTTGCAAGGGCTTCCTGTGGTTTAGGGCTGAGGAAAGAGGGGGCAGGTTCCTCATCTAGCCCAGTAGGTTGGGAAAGATACCCAGGATTTTACTCTGAGTCACGTGTGAAATATAAGTCTTGGCAATGTCAAAGGATAAAACAGCTAAAATACTAAAATAAACTGTCTAATTGAGATGGATTTTTTTGCATGAGAGTTTCAAATTCCCTTATGATAAAGAAAAAACAAACCCAAAGCAAACTGCTCTTGAATGGTCTAGTCCCAGGATGTGTATTTCCATCTGTTCTTTGAGCTGCCAGAGGAAGATTTCTTTTGAAACCTGTTTTTCTCTTCATCTGCCCTCCTGACAGACCCAAATCCCTGCCTGCTGTTCTGTGATGAAGGTGTTTTGATAAATCCTTTCCAGTGACCAAAAGGGGTGTCTACTCTTTGTCAGGTATCCTACTGTGCTACAAGGATAGGGGGATGTTTCTTCCCACTTTTTTGCTGATGACAATATTTTTCCTATATTCTCTTATTTTACAATGTCTTCTAATCTTTTCAGTTGTGATCAAACATGATAATTAGACTAATTTCCTTTTAGATAACCTTACTGAAATAAATTTTTCAGTTTAATGATATGTTTTCTCAAAGATTTCTCAGGGTAAAATTCAAGGCAGCATGTGTGTTATCAATACCATTGATTTTATTTAATATGCAGGATGGATGATTTAATTTCTTGAGGGTATTGTTTGGCTTATGTCAGTGTGTTCCTCTCCTACATAAGGCAGGGTGACAAAAGGCTAAATCAGAAGTGGATAAACTGCAATGCTGGAAATTTGAAGCTTAGTCATAAGACCATAAGACCATATTATAACTCATACCCTGAAGGAGCCCACACTGAAATTCCAGGGACAGTCTTAGGTCAAATATTTCCTGGCCCTTGGATGTTTGATTTGCTAAACTCAAGTTTCTTTAACTTCTTTTAGTGTTTTCAATCCTAACAGGGTTTTTTGAGGGAGTGCAATATTCCAAGTCCCATCCTGAGATATCTACTTCTTCCCTTTTTTACAATTTGCTCTGACCTCCTTGCCATCAAGTCCCAACTCTGTCCCAGTTCATTGTCAAGATCATTTCTCTTTCACAAACATATTGTTGTCCCCTGGTCCAGCCAGTCCCTGTCTCCTCCTCCCTCAATGTTTTCTTTTGGTCACTGTGACCTCCCTGCTCTTTCCCCCTGAAGTCCATCATTAATAGTCTACATCATCATCCTCCTCCATGGGCTGCAGGGCACACTGCTTCACCATGGCCTTCACCATGGGCTGGAAGGGAATCTCTGCTTGGAGACAGTCCTGTTCAAACTTCTCCAGTGCTGGTCCCTCTAAAGGGCTGCAGTTTTTCACAAACTGCTCCAGAATGGGTTCCCCAGGAGGTCACAGATCGTGCCATAAAACCCACTCCAGCAGAAGCTTCTTGCAGGGTCATGCCACGTTCTCCTCAGGCATCCACCTGCTCCAGCCCCTGTCCTCCAAGGGCTGCAGGTGAATCTCTGCTCCATCACGGGCTCATCCACATCCCTTCAGCTCAAGGTCACACTGGTCCCAGCCTGTCCAGTGCAGCAGCACAGAAACAGCAGCAATGCCCTGGCCAGCCACCACCCTGCCTGCCACCAGAGCCTTCCTGGGCACAGTTCAGTGAGGTCAGTGCAGTGCAGCACCCCAGCAAAAAGTGGCCACTAACCAGCACCAGACCCTAACACACAGTCAGAAATGCATACATTTACAGGCATTCATGCTGGAGAGTAAATCCATTGATTTGCAAGACTCTGTTAAGTGGTTTAAAGCAGAATTTAAATTACAGATGTTTTTCCTGACATTTGAGCATATGTAAAAGAAGCACTGCTTTCATGAAAGTCCTAGGCACTTTCTCATGGATGGAAAAAGGAGGTTTCCCATTAAATCCAGATTTCATACTAATTTTCAATCTATTATGTCATAGCCCAAATATGCCACCATACTCAAGAACTGTTTTTTCCCCTTTATACATTTAATAACATGGACAAGTGCTAGTCAGATGAGACAAGATATTTTGCCCTTTAAAGGTCCTCATCTGTAGTGAGAAAATGGAACTTCTTTTTCTACACCTTTTTCATTATTTCAGCGTTTTCTTCCCTTCCCTTCCCTTCCCTTCCCTTCCCTTCCCTTCCCTTCCCTTCCCTTCCCTTCTCTTCAGATGAGTCAGGGGACTTCACATGCTGATGCTATTAGTGGTGTTTAGGCCTGATATTTGTTTTAAAAACATCTGTCACAGAAGCAGTGGAAGTAGTAAACCTATGACAGATTCTTCCTCCCTGATCCCTTAATCCATCCTTAATCCTTAAACCATCATTGCAGGAAGATAAGCCTTTTCAAAAGGCTTCCATTGCTCAGATTCAAAAAGTTTGAAAGAACCATTAAAAATTAACACCAATCTTATTGCAATGGAGTTAAATAGATAGATTTCTATAATCAAATAAGAGATTAATTACATATTCAAAATGGAAACACTAAAAAGAACTTCAGAAAATGCAGTGGTGTTACAGTGAGTAACTGTAAAGGCTGAACTGAGCAGGCTTTACAGTGAGGACTTAAATAAATTGTTATACAAATGATGGGTCTGGATGCTCCCTTCTGCACCAACACATCTGGCTGAACAGGCTGCACTGTCTTCTTCCATGTCTGTACATACACATAATTTGAGAGTCATGGAAACAGATCTCAGTTGCTTTACATTTACTCTGCCAGTGATGCTGTGATGGAAAATAAGTTTTTTTTACTATGAGAGTTTGTGTTCTGGTAGCAACAAGGATTTTTAATCATAGAACTATATATTTGCTCTTCCCCAAAGGAATAGGGGGAAAGATACAAAATATAAAAATAAATATAAGAAAGAACAAGACTATGATGCAAAATAAGATATTATGTAGTTTATTAATTTTGATTCATAAACATATAAATATGTATCTAAGGATTTGCCTCAAAATAATACAGTATCAATGGCCATCATAGATACATAAAAAGGAACTTTACAGTACTTTATGAGAAATTTTGCAATACTTTCCTGGATCAGCAAAAGTCAGGTTTTGAGGAAGTTATTGTGTTACCTTGCTTTTTTTACAATTTATGTACACTTTGTGTTACATGCTCTTGTAAAATAGTTATGCACTGCACATAATTAAAGTGCACAAAAACAATTAAAATTCTCTATATCTTACTGTGAAAATACAAATTGGGGAAAATATTGTTCAAAATAACCAGAGTTATCCCTTACCTGCTTAAATGCACTTATCAGCCAAAGATTAAGCTCATATTTGCTCCATAATACCTGTTGTAATTTTATGAATAGTGTTATAGGTGGTATGGTAGCTGTCATCACAGACACCATGCAACAAAATATTCACCTGCATTATGGCTTTCTGCAGAGAAACCAGGTTTCTGGTATTTTGTAAAAAAATTATTTTCTTTTAAGCCACTGTTAATAGGTATGACAGATTAGATAATTTGGTAAAAAATTCTGGTATCACACATGCATTTGGATGGATAACACAGAACTAGAAAAGCAATTCTGAGGAAAAAATAAGCAATCAATCATGTAATTTACTTTAATTGATAATTAGCTTGGTCTGTGAAGGCCAGATCAGGGTGTTTCATATTAATTTTTAATGCCATTTGCAGTGTCATAAAATAAGTTATAATATCAAAATAAAGAGGAACTGAGACCCATTATGTTAAACTACTCTTGACTGGAAACATGTTGAAATTTGAAGACATTTCTTTGAAAGATACCCATCTCGAAGGAAATCCACAGGGAATAAACTGTGAAAAAACTTCTAAAGCCTTTTGCCTGAAGTATTTCCCAACAAAGACATAAATCACGGGGTTAATGCAGCTGTTGGTGATAGCCAGCATATAAGCAAACTGCTCCCCAAAGTTAATCAGTTCCCCCCAGAAGCAGCCTTTGATCACTTCTGTATGGTATAATGTATCAAGAAATACAAAAAAATGGTGAGGAGTCCAGCAGAAAAGAAACATCAGTACCACGGTGAGGATCAGCCTGGTTGCCTTTGTGCCTTTGTGCCTCTTGCAACCCTTTGCTCTGAGTGCTCTTCGTTCTTTTGCTGTTTTTTGTAGGGACCTAATGGTGGAGAAATTGAGGAAGATGATTGCAGTGGATGGCAACAGAAACCCCACCACGTTGCCTACCAGGCTTTCAGCAATTTCCCATGATGGGGTGGGGAAGTCCAAAGTGCACGCTGAAATATTCCACTGGGGAAAGTCTTTCACAGTCCGGAACATGAAAGCTGGGATGCTGAGAAGGATGCAAAAGAACCAGATGAGCAAACAGATCCTTTTGGTCATAGTTTTGCTCCACATCTCTCGGTGGTTCAAGGTATGGACGAAGGTCAAGTAGCGATCCGCGCTGACGGCCACGAGCAAGTAGATGCTGGTGTACATGTTCAAGGTGATGGAGGCGCTGATGCTGCGGCACAGGAAACTGCCAAACGGCCAGTTAAACTCATTATTGATGTTCTCTGCCCAGAAAGGGAGGCACATGAGGAAGATGAGGTCAGCAACAGCAAGGTTCATAAGGTAGATTTCAGCTATCTTCAGGGGGCCCTTGTGCAGTGAATAAATGAAGAGAACAAACACATTTCCAAGCATACCAATAACACAGACAGTGTTGATGTACTTGGGTCCTATATAGTACACAATGTCCCACCAGTCATTCAAGTCTGGGCAAACAGTTGAGTTGCTCTGATTTTCACTCTGGTTTGAGGAGGGAATATTCAGTAGAGGAGTTTCAGTCATTTTTTAAAAAATTTGGAAGTGAACAGGAGGTGTCTTCAAAATGAAAGAAAATAACTGCAAAAAAGAAGAATAAAAGAGCAAAAGTAGCCTCCTCTGAGTGGTGTAACAAACATTTAACTGCTGCAAATTCTTTATTAGTCCTTACTGATTATTATGGGCTAGATCAAGCCATTCTTGATATGTGCAGTGGTGGGAAATATTCCCATTATTAGCAAGGATAGAACTTCCTCTACATCCCATGAAGTTTCCTCTCCTTGCTTCCATTGTTTAAAGTGGCACACAGGAAGGAAAGTGACAAAGTAGTGTAAATAGTTCTGTACATCTCCTCCAGATTGATGACAGATACAGATATGGGAGAATTCCATCTCCCTGAGAGTAGTGGGAGTCATACTGGTGACACAAAGGCAGCTTTGCATCCTTCCTTGCCTTTTCTCTTACTCTTATTTACCATACTATGTATATTAATATGTTACTGTATTATATACTATATTATATGTAGTTCAATATATTATTATATTATTATATTCTGTTATCCTGCTGAAGCCTGTTTCCTTGAATTGGGAAAGCTGCTCACTCGCTGTATGTGCCACTTGCTGCCTGAACTTTACATTCTTTTGTTCTTTCTCAGTTCCTCCCACCCTGAACTTTGGGTTCAAAATTGCTATTAGATTAGACATCTTATTGCTTTCAAATATCAGTGGTTGGAATAATAAACAAAGACTTCTCCAAAATATTACGCTAAAAATCATGCCTGGAGGAAGGGCCTCTGCAGCTCTAAATTTACAGCACTTTTCTCCAGCTCAAAAATGTCATTTGAGTTTGGCTGTCCCAGGCTCCAAAGTGTTTAGTTCATCATAGCATCAGCAATACCTTTATTTCTTTCTGGTAGCTCCATGTGAGATTGTGCAGGAGTAAGAACACGGGTAAAACCTTATGAAAATCCACTGGACTTTCTGTCAGAGATCCATTGTCAGAGCTGCCTCCTGCTTCATTCTTCTGATGTTGTCATGCTCGATGATAGTGCCTAGATCCTGGTTTTTACAGGCATTTGGTCTCAGAACTTTGTAGTAGGCAAGTTATTATTGACCCTGTTCTGCCCTCTGACATTTCAGTACTTTGTATGCAAGTGGAGCATGTCAATCACAGAAAATAATGTATTTGAAAAAATGAATATTTTGCAATCAGTCATTCTAAATGTTGACTTTCTGCTGTAGCTATTTAACTCTGCCCTTTCAGCCGCTGTATTTTACACCTAGGAGACCCCTAATGATGGAATTTCTGAAGAGAAAATTTAGGACCATCATTCATCTTTTTTAGATATACGTAAACCTCAGTGATTTCTGTATATGAGCAACATGCAGTACTTATTTTAGGATGCCTCTAGTAATAAGTTAAGTATTAATAGTCCACATCAGGCTATCTGGTACTAAGGCACAGAACATTTTTCATCGCTGCAGAATTAGGTGAGCAGCAAAGTTGTGTCTGAGTTCATAAACTCACTCAAGCCGGCAGCCTTGACGGGGAACTGAGCTACAACTCAAGTCAGCACAGCTCCCTGGATTTCCCTCACAACAGACAATGTTACCTAGCTCACAGAACTCTCACGCAAATGAAGAGAACTTGAGAGGATCTAATACTACAGATAAAACACATGCAGCAAATAAATGGCTGATTAGCACCAGAGAAGCTCTTTGTGAGACAGCAGAAATCTAGTGCTGTTGGAGCAGGAGGCTGGCTAAGGCATGAGAGAGCAATGGCAGAAAATCTGTAACTTTATATTTCAAAAATAATGTAGAAGAAAGATAGCAGTTAAACCTAAACAGAATTATTTATTTTACTAGATATAGGATAAAAATAAATGCTTATTGTCCTTGCTTACCCTTTTCCTGATGACTTCTTGCTATCAGCTTATGCCAGCCACTCTGCACACTTCAGACATGATCTCTCAGCTGGAGCCACAAATTCATTCATGATGGGCTCAGCTAAAAACACCTGGAAGTTTTATTTTTCATTGCAACTTAGATTTTATTCACAGCTAAATACAAATTCTTGTTCAGCTAGTAATAGTACCTGAGGATTCTGTAGAGTTTTTAATTGCAAAAATTTCTCCAGAGTCTACTAATCAATGTCTAAGCACTACCACAAGCCACAAGCCTTTTATAAATTTAGAGTTCCAAATGTTCTCTTAATAGAAAATGCACTTTATTTTATGTAATTTCTGTAAGCATTTTGAAGTAGTTAGTGCTAATGGAAAATTAGACTCATGAATAGTTTCCAATTTCTGTCCTTAACATATTCCGGTCATCTTTTATACAAATAATGACCTTTTTTTTTTACTTTGATCTGATTTTTGATGAATTTCCATGCACAATGCATCTATCACCCTTTTTACTACTAATACTCATTAGCCAGTCAGAGCAATTAGGTAAAATGGATAATGGCTTTACACATAAACTAATACTGGGCTTCAGAATTACTTTTGTGGTGAAAAAGAAAGGGAAAATCTTACTAGACTGCACAGATCAGAACTGAGAGCACAAAAGATTATTTTTTTAAGATAAAAGATAGAAATTATTTTAATAAAGATAATAAATTCAAAAAGAGAGGCATACCTACTCTTCGTCCTTCCTGGCAATCCAGGCAATGTTTCAAATTCGGAAACAGTTGATAAACAGCAGTACAGAGATTACTGAGAGAATTCAAAGATGCATCCTGAGGCACAACTGAGTGACTGAGGGCTGTCCTGAGTGTTTTGCTGGCTGTATACCATGTGTATGATGTTACATTTTGGAAGAAAGCCCCAGGAATTTTTTTTTTCAACTTTCCCCGACGTCAGCTGAAGTAATTTTCAAGAGATGTGAAATATTTCATTGTCATTGTGAAATAAGACAAGCCATGTGTTGTGGCTCTTGTCATGTTTTGACCACTAATTAAAGCTCTCAAATTGTCCTTGGCAATTAAAAATTCCATTGTGTGAATGTCTGTAAAAATAAGAACTTTATTAACAGCTCCGAAATGCCTTCTCTGTACCAATGCACACAGGGAGAAATTAGAATTAGGCTTTTGTTGTGTTGGGAGCTCCTTTCTCTGCTAGACATGAGGGGAGCCATGCCAAGGAGCTGGGGGTAAAGCAGCACAGGGAGGTGGGAATGGCTGCTGAAACATGAACCTTGCTAAACTTCACTTTACTCTTTTTGAAAAGCACTGGTTTTTGCACCCCCCTATAGGCATCCAGGGCATGAATCTCTGTGAATATTACTTCTCAGTAATATTCATTATGACTGCTGTATTTTCTCAGGCTTGTACCCAAATAAGCTTCTTCTTTTTCTGATTACTTTCTGGGACCAAGTAGCCTGAGAGTGGTGGTTTATAAATTATTTATTATATTTTTCATTCTGATTATCCACTGATTAGAGCAATATTTAAAAAAGATAATATCTTTCATCTCAGATTTTACATGCAAATCTGTCTTAAGCACAGCCATGTAAACAATGTAGGTTTTCAAGTAGGAAAAAAAACAACAAACAATGAGAAATTATCAAGGGATTGGAATGCTATTTACGTATAGGAAAATATTCTTCTCTTTGGCTGCTTAACCAATACATGCGCCATATATCTTGATTTTTATTCAGTTGTGTCCATTTTTGTTTGATAAGTAAGTTAAAATAAAAAGGCAGGGGAGGCTGAATGGTGATACCTTATTATGAACTTCCCTATCATGAAAAATTCTTTTATTCCAAATTTTTATTAATTAAAGAATATGAGATAGTTATGTGAACAGTGCTAAAATTGATAAACAAAAAATGTTCCAGTTAAACCATCACAATGGAGAAAACTCTAAATAGCTTGAGATTTAATGTTGGTTTGGTTTTTTTTTAATATCTTTAAAAATTTTAATTTTGGCAAAGATTGAAACACAACATGTAATTTGGTATTTACATATTATGTAGGGAATCCTAACAAATTACAGAAGGAAAATCTTGAAACAACTCATCTCACACTGACTCATAAAGGTAAGTGCAATATGACACGAGATCTTCGTCACAGACTTTCCAAAGTCTCCACTTTGCTTACACTACTGCATTTCCGTGTTTAAGTTATTTTTTCCATAATGAAGAACATTTGAGCAATAACAAGAAGTTTGGAATTTTTCTTTGCTTGGACATGAATCTCTAGGATCTGCCAAGTTCCACATTTACTCACAGGCTGAATAAAAAACTGCAGCTATGTCTAAATTTTATGTGATAAATAACAAATCTTATAAAACTTGTCACATTAAAATGAGTGGTTTTGCAAATCCTGATGTTTGCAAATCTTGTCTCTTATTTTCTGTTGGTTTTGATTGCTATATTTGGAACATTTTTCAGTAATAGAGAGAGATTCAAAATTGGAAGTGTATGCATTTAGTAGAAAAAGTGAATAGGCACTGCAGTAGCTCTGTAATTTAAAGATCTTAGAACAAGTCTACAGAAGAAGCTGTAACTTTATATAGAAAGGGGATTTAATTTATTGTGTCTTTACAACCTAATTCCTCATTTCAACCTATAGAAATTATATAAAGGTCTGGTAACATTTCAGAGTTTGCACAGAGGGAATGGACCATGAATGAAGAAATTTGAAGGATTAGTTTAAAAATATCTGTAGGAGTCAATAGTTAAGGGGTTTTTTACTATAAAAAGCACATCTATCTATTGGCACCTTCAGCTCAGGATACTCACAGCATGTTGCTTTATGTTTTAGTCTAGAATGATATTTAGTCACACAATCTAGGCAGACTTTCCTGCAGAAAGTAAACATTTTTAGAGCTGTGTAAGAACTCACAAATGCTACCTGAGCCTCTCTGATCAGAATGATTAAACAAAAGTGTTGAACTTAGAGGTAAGAATCTTTGTTTAGTTATCACAGACATTACAAGGTAGAAAATGCCAAAAATCTCAAAGGTGTCCAGAGTTCTGGCTTCTGGTCCAATAGTTCAGCCATTAAAAATCTTCCTTTTAAGATGGTTGGAGCCTTTAACGATTGGACAAAATATCTTTTTGGATCAGTATGTTTTAATATTTCATTTTCTTTATTGAAATGTTTGGCAAATCAGCCTAATTATCTGCTATATCTGTTCATCAGTTCTGTAACAGCGGAGAAGGTTTTTGATATGACCTTTTGAGGTAAAACTCTTTGTTCAGCTTTGTTGGATTTCTTCATATAAACTATAGAGATTGCTAAGGAGAGCTTAAATTCTGGTGCAGTCATTTACAATTCCCAAAGAATGATGCTAGAACCACCACAGTGTGGTAATAATCAAGCCCTACTAACTACAGTTTACAGAGCTTGAAACAGCAAAATATGGAGGAATCAATCTAGGTTGAATGGAATGGAAAGATGATTCAATGGCTAAAGACTTCTTAGGGATTTGGGAGACCTGAACCAAGATCCCAGCCTGAAACCCTGTCTAAGATACAGCAACTTTCTCCTGTCTGCAGTGAGCACCTGCAGCTTGTGTAACAGCTCTTAAACTCTTAATTTTTCAAGTGAAGACAATAATCCATGTGAAAAATGAGAGAGTGGGGAGATGAGAATAATTCCTGCCTGTAAATGCGGAAGGCCAGAAATATCATCTGGCTGTTGATATCCTTGCCATTTCTCTGGCCATGGTCCCCACCTCTGTCAGACTGAACGGGGAGTCAGCATGGCCAAAGTCTAGAGAATAGTTGTGGCAGCCTCAGTGAAAGAGAAGATGGGAGCAGAGGTAAGAGGGGTAAAGAGGATAAAGAAAGATAAAGAAGATATAAAGGATAAAGAAGAATAAACTGATACGATTACTGTTTGCCGTCTTCAGCTCTGACATTATCAGGACAAAGACTGACTTCATTTTACCAAAACTCCTTCTCATATTTTGTCATGTTTCTGTAAGAACAGAACTGAGCCAAGTGTGACTGGAAACTGTCAGTAGGTCAGATGTAGCTTGGATGTTACACTTTCTTTCTTGGGGTTTTTTATTGCATGTGTAAATGGTGCATGTGAATACCACAAATGTGTCATCACACTGAAGAGTCAGTAAAATGGGAATGAAACATTTTGTGAGCTGATACTGTTTGTTCTGTGATGTGCAGAAGCTGCTGCAGGGGCTTTCCATTGTTGCTGGTGTCTGCAAAGGACATTGATCTATCAGCAGGCAGAGAAAAGCTACCAGAAATACTAAAGCTACCCTTATCTGCCTTAATTCTGATTTAAACTTCCAAAGGGACCAAGGGTGGTCAACAGCACTCAGAAATGGGCCCTAAAAAGAAAGATTCCAAAGTAGCTAAAATTCTGTTGTTTCAGCTCACTTTCCCTTGGCGTACCAGGAAGCCAAGTAAGCATCTGGAGCAGCTGAACACTTGACAAATCATGTCTAAGTAACAGGATACAGGCTAGAGAAGAAAGTGCCAGGAAATCTCATTTCTCAAAATACTTTATTTTCTTACTGCATAGCAAAAAAAAATGTGGCTATATATTTACATTATTTAAATTAATGTGATATTAACAATTTTATATTTCACTGCCCAGTACCAAATACTCAAAAATAACTTCTGTTGCCTCAATAACCTCTGTATGGATTTCCTTTTGTGTAAGGGTTGCATGAACAGCATGCTCATGGATGAGATAGTATGATAACACTGGATATAACAGAAAGCCTTGCAGTGTTTCATCATAGTGTCCCCATTGCTTCAGAAAATAAAAAGGATGAGCAATAGAAGTATTTAATATCATACTAGCTTATCAAAGAAAAACCATGGAAATTTCCTATAAATCATATAGAGTGACCTAAATCACTTAGTCTTTAAATCACATCTGCACACTTATATTTTGTGGTTTAGTTATTTGAAGGTTTAATAAAAATGAATTTTATTGCTCCATTCAAGCTCTGACAGATAAAGACCATGTAGTTGCCATTTGAGTTTACTCATGTCACCAAACTCCATTTCCCTTGGTAGCTTTAGAAGCTGTAACCTTAAGTGCTTTGAAAAGAATAAAGACTGTTAGTTTCAGCTTATCTTAGATCATCTTCCACTCAGTTTTCATCAAGGTTCCTAGAGGTTAAAGTGCATACAGACAATTCAGTACACTATGAGTTTCTTTCTGTGTATAATCAACTTAGCTCAAAATAACAGTCCAACTGGGGAAAAGCTGTCTTGTATTAAAATCTCACAGATTAACTCTACAAATAAAATGTAGGTATTGCTAGACTCTGAAAAAGCCATTCTTGAATACTCTGAGTCCCCTGTTATCTTCAGTTAGATTTCTAATGCAGTTAGGTGATGCTCTCCTTCATATTCTCAGTTTCTTCTATTTGTGAGATTATACCAGTTGTGCTGAGATTTTATATACCCATTAAATAACATTAATTATGCTTTGTGAATACTAAAAACCAGAGTCTCTGAGCTGAAGTGTAAGCATGAATATAAATTGCATTTGCCCACTCAAAAGGAGTAAGTGAATGCTTTCATCCAAGGTAGAAGTGGTAATGAATCTTCTACAAAGAAAACTCAGCCAACTTCATGCAGGTGGGTGCAGGTTCCCTTCCACTACTGCTTTACCTTTTTTTCAGCTACTTTTCATATGTACTTGCACATGTAAACCTGTAACTAACTGGAGCAGTTGCAAAAAGGCACTGCTTGTCAATGAAAAATCAGATTGTTTCAGATAACTGAAGAGAGAAATTAAAAGCCCAAAAAGATGGACACATCTAAAAGCACATCCTACAGGATTTACTTATCAGAATTTACTCAAATACAAGCCCCTCCCAAATCAAAAACCTTATCTAGCACACTATTATGGGTACCATATGTAGCTGCACAATCCTGACAATTGCTTCTGTACTGGGGCTCTGTTTGGAGAATTGCATGTATACCTTAGAAAAACATTCCAAGTGATACATGCACCAAGTATCATTCAGCCATGAAAAAGTAAGTAAGCTACAAAATGGGATTCAAGCAGGTCTTTTTATGGAATTTCCATTAAGATCAAACCACTCTTTTCCCTCACGTAATGAACACTACCACATGTTTACTCTGTGGACCCATACCATATGGATATGAGTAGAGACTGATAATGTTAAAAGGCTTTCTTTCTTTAAGGATTTCCTAAAATTATGCTATTGGGGTAATGACAAACCAGACTTTTTCCTTGAGTATTCACTTGAAATGGAAGTTCTTAAAGTGTCCAGGGAGTTTTCTATCTGCACAGACTGTAATTTTCTGCACCTCTTTGTGAACAAGTCCTTGTAGAATTCCACAGCCTTCTTCTGGAAGTTTTTCCCAACAATCACATACAGGACTGGGTTCAGGCAGCTGTTGCTAAAGGAGCAGTATGTGGCTATCTGGGTCAGTATGTCATTGATGTCTTCCAGGCATTTGAGAGTGGGTGAGAAGTAACGGATTGTGTCGATGGCTGTGGTGATCTGGAATGGAAGCCAGCAAATGATGAACATCAGGAGCACAGCAAAGATCAGCATGGTGGCTCTCTTCTCTGTCTGGACTACCTGCATTTTTCGTAGCTCACTGCTTCGTAAGGCTTTGATGATTTGCACAGTGCAATAGGTAATTACACAGAATGGGATCACAAACCCCACAGTATTGAGCAAGCAGTTGTTTGTTGGCTCCCAGTAGCTAGCTGGGTAGAGGAGAACACAGGCTGTGATGTTGTACTCTTCAAAATAGCGCAAATTTCGAAACACCATTGTAGGTGAACACATCAGCAGTGCACATGTCCAAATCACAAAACAATTCCATTTGGCACAGACAGTTCGTCTCATCCGCCCAAGAGACATGGTTTTCACCAAGGCCAGGTAGCGATCAATGCTCACTAGTGTCAGGAAATAAATGCTAGAATATAAGTTCATGTTACTCATAACATTGATGGCTTTACAGAGAAACTGGCCAAAAGGCCAATGAAAATTATTAGAAATATTAATGGCCCAGAAAGGTAAAGTACAGACCAACATTAGGTCAGCAAATGCCATGTTTGCTAGGTAAATTTCAGCCACTGTGCAGCTACTCTTGTGGAAACACAGGATGGTGAGCACAAAGGAATTTTCTATTGATCCCAGAATAAATATAAACCAGAGAAATACAGGCTGGTAATCCTGTAGCCATTTCCACACATCTGCACTAACACATTCATATTGATCTATCTGATGCACTCCTGAATTATTGTGGAAATATTCTGGACTGACTGTAAGCTCCTGGGTGGTCATGTTGTACAGCTGCGTAACATTTTCAGTTGTGATGGAAACCATTTCTGTGAAGAGAAAAATAGGTGACATGAGATTGCCAGATCTAGATCTTTGCTGCAAAAGACACAATAAGAAAAGCTCTTTTGCTTTTCCTAATGTCCTTGAAGCATAGCTTTTGAACAGGCTTACAGCTCCCTGGGTTGCTTCTCATAGACACTGGGTGTGTCTGTGGAATATTTTACAGACTGCATTGCTATGGACTGCCTGGACCAAATTTAGGCAAGTAAAACAGAAGGGATGTAGCAACAACAGATATTGTTATGAATGTGTTAACTGAAGAGAACATTTAGAATCCTTTATTCTCTGGAACTGAGCTGCAGCAAGTCTTTGTTAATTCTTTGAGGATATTCATCATTAGTTTGCCTTCTTATCTTTTTATGTCATTAGCCGTGGTCTCCTAAGGTACCTTGTGTGTCAAGCTGCTCATGGTAAAGCTGCTAGTTCTGTGTCACAACCTGCAACATTTTACACCCTTCCCTGTAGAGCAAGAATTGAGTGGAATTCAGTGGTTCTTACTTCCCAAGGAACACCATATATTTTTCCAAAGTGTTCTACTGTACAATAAGCAGACACTAGTTTGCATTGAGAATGCTGAGGGATCAGTGTTTGCCAGCAATGTGCCTTTCTCAGCTTCTCACTGAAATTGTCTGTCTCTGTGTTACAATCTCTTTCTGCAGCCAAGCTCCGTAGAGATAAATGGCACAACCTTCATGAGGATGATCAGTTTTAAGAGGTGCACAGTGGGTGGGTTTGGCAATGGGGTAGAGACAGTGGCCATCCTATAAGCCAGGACCTGTCTGCAGTCATCCAGCTTGAGTGCAAGAGCACAGTCTGAAAATCAGAACACTGCAAACATTCTGCAGATCAGAACAGCCTGGGATTATACAGGGAGCTATTTACAGGCAGAAATGTCAGATGTGTACTAATGTTACTAGAACCAAACAGAAGTTGAGTGTGCAGCATCATTCACCCACAGATAAAATGTTAACTGTGTTTTCTTGTTGTTGTGTTCTTGGATAATGAATGCTGAGATATTATTCAAATGCAAGATTGGCTTCCCAGATCTGTATATATAATTCTCTGGACTGAGTGACAGAAGTACTGTTTGTCTTTTTCAGGTCTTTATAATAACCACTGTTTATATTATCATTTGATTGGAAGATTTTCAAATGTATTTTTAATTAAGACATTTGTCTTATTCAACTGGTAACTTGGCAGTGAAAAGGCACACACTTGGCAATTCCTGAAAGGATGAGAGTTCTCACTTGTTTTCTGGTTGCTGGTATTGTTGTCTGGTAAGTATCAGCGCTTAATATACATACAGAAATTTGGCTATTTGTTGCAAAATTGATGAAAAATGATTGTCATATTTTGTGTACTTTGTGTTAATAAAACACTTTAGCGTTTAAACATCTCAAAGCCCAGCTTATGTGGATGTGAGAGCTCTCACTAACAAATTGCAAACAGCAGTTTCAAGTCTCCCTTTCTTTCTGTGCTGGCACTTTCACTGTAAAAACACATAGGAAGTGAAATACTAATGGATGGCAAACAAGATGTCATCTGAGAATAGAGAAGTTTTGTTGCCTGATGCAATTATCAGAAACTGTTTCTTCTGCTGGTAGTAGGCTGTAAACCAGCAGGAAAAAAAAAAGTGCATTATTTTACACTTTGAGGTTGGATGTATGCACATTTTTAATAAGATGAGCATTAGTAATTCAGAGAGTGGTCACAAAAGTTGTGTTGGCTTTTCCTAGGATTTTCTCTCATTACATTAATTTATAGAATTTTATTTACAGGAAATAGCAGCTCCAAAACTGCATATTGATTTATCTGTATTTTCTCTACAATTAATCTCTTTCAGATTTTGTTTTTAGAATACTAGAATACTTTAAAATAAGTTAGTTATATCATATTACTGTGGTCAAGGAACAGTGTTAAAGGACTAGTTAGGATGCCACCAAGTCCATGACATGGGGCTTCTGGCAACCTGCCTCCTTGGTCCTTAGCTCAAGTCCTTCCATAATGCATTGTTAGAAATGGGGGAGTGAACAAGGTAAAATTATCAATTTACAAGCCCTAATGTTTAGGGTTAAAATTATGTGCTTGATGCTATTCTATATTGCATAGAAGACTCATTTAAAGTATGTGATTGCTGAATAAATTATGATTGACAAAGCCACAGCTTACAGAAGGCAGTGATTTTGCTGTTTTCTTCTCATATTTTGGTGAAAATAAATGTGATCCATTCTCTACAAATACTTTTTGTTCAATGCAAGACAAGCCTCATATCTCAGCAGGGACTTTCAATAAGATTTCATGTGGCAGCCTTGATTGAAATACTGCCCAGCTGAAGTAATCCATCACTAGTGATTCTGAGTGACCCCTCTGAGGGATAAATTTTAACCTGATGGAGTTCACTTCCTGTTGTGAGTTACCTCCTCCTTGGCAGTCTATAAAACCCACTGTCAGTCATGTTGTTCTGTTGTTCTCACGTTGTTCTCGTGTTGTTCTGGAGTATTTTTTTTACCAGCATTGAGAATAAACAACAAGGTTTGATGGAGGGTGTTTCAGGGTGCCCTGTGTGGGAGGGAGCAGTCATGGCCTGGACGTGCTGGTGGCAACCAGCCCTGTGCCTCTTGCAGTCACCGGCCTCAGCAAGGCAGGAGGGCTCTGGGGCTGGCTCCTGGTGTTCTCTGGCTTTTGGCAAATCCTGCCAGTGCTGCAAATACAATTCCTTGCAGAGGGACTGGGAAGAAGGGGCTGATCAACTGTTGGATTGTCATTACAGGCAGGTGGAGAAGGACTCCAAAAACGTGGTGGTCACCAGTGCCATAGCCTGAAACTCTGAGGGCTGGGCAGTCACCAGGGCACCTTGGGGTCTCCTGCCAAACTGCTGGGATGTCCTGCTGCTCGAGGACTGACCCACACAGACAGAACTGGAGGGAGTATGGCAGAAGACAGGCGTGGGTTAATCAGCAAGCCAAGGATAGCACCTAGAGTGCAGCAGAGTGGTTAATCCTGGAATGTGGAGGGAAAATCTCCATGGTACAGCAACATGTGCCGGGGCCTATGGAAGTTCTTGAAAGAAAAGGAGGGGAATATGTTGAATTGGAACAAAATGTTCTCTTAGGATCAAGAGATATGAGCTAAACAATGGAAGGATAGGGGAAAAAAGGTCAGAGCTCAGTTAATGCTGCTACTGGGTTAATGCAAACTCTGGCACAGCTTTACTCCTCAGATGGGGTATGCTGCTTCGGGTGAATATTTTTCACCATCTCTTTTGGGTCTGGATGAAGTCCTACAGCTACTGAACTCATGACTATTAGTATTGCCAGTGGTGTTAATCTTTCCTTGTATTATGCTAAACATTTTCATACAGTGAATAACTAAATGTCTCATGATGGTCTAAGTCATGTCTTATACAAGGACAAGTTCTGAAATGAGTAATGAGTTCAGGTTATTTCAATGTCACCTGCACTAATCTACTCTGCGGGAGTAAGAGAGAGACTTTGTAATGTATTTTACAGCTGTTGTGACTTTGCTGATTGCATGTTTTGCAGAAACAAGGTGTGACATTTGCAATTAGTATATTCTGAGATTGTTGAAATATGAATCTTGCTAATTTAGTCCTCAGAGAGAAGAGGTGGAGCCTGAAACAGATAAATGCTGTTATGATGTTAGCTGCTATAATGTTGTTTGCTGGAACAAAAGACAGAATATTAAACAGCATAGGCACACAGTGTAGGATGTTTTCCTACACAGTCTAATTTGCAAGAACAAAGGACAGAGTGTCTCAAGGCCTCACTAGTCTTCTCCAAGTGGGGAATTTCTCTGATGGATGAACATGCATGATGAAAATTGCCTCTAATGCAGCCTTATTTTTCATTTATTTTAGGGATTTCTTAGCAAGGCCGAGTGAAGGATAGGTATGACACCCAGACTGTAGCATCCCTAGCAGAATTTTACAATTACCTGGTTTACTTTAAGTGCTGTCAGTAGCCAAAAGTGTTTTCAGAGACAAACAGCTAGCTTGCCACACATGCATAGAGGTCCATGCACAGCTGGGGGTCAGTGGCACAGAGGAGGGGAAAAGTTGGGAGCAAAAATATGGATTTGAACGAGTGGCTGCAAACTGAAAGGCACTGGCTGACTTCTGGCATGCTCATATTTTAGAAGATATGTTAGTTGCAGAAAGAAATAGCAATGGCTTCCCCAGCGTCTCCTCTGGCTCCCTGTTTCTCTGCAGAGCCCAGCCTGCTTTGATGCTGTAATTTTTGTGTGAGTTTGTCCTCCTGAACATCTCTGAGCCCAGCTTGGGCAGACAAGTGTCCCCTGGTGGTGCCTATTTGCCAGGCAGCCTTGCTTCTTCACACTAATATAAAAGCTACAGTCAGTGTAACACAGGAGCTGCCAGAGCCATGAGAGGAAAAAGGGTATTTTCCTGACAGATCTGCTGTGACCAAAATGGGAAATAGCAGGAATTCAAAAGCTGCTGCAGGTAAGGGAGTCTTCTGCAGTGTGGTCTGTAAGGAAGCCTGGAAGTCCTGCAGGCTCCATGCAGGAACCACTGCTGTCCTCAGGAGCTTGGATACTTGCTGATAGACTCAGCGAGTTGCTAGGAGGCTGTAGTGATGTCCTCTAAACTGCCTCATTTTTCACCATCAGACAGGTATTTGCTGGTTAAGGAGAGAGAGAGAAGTTTAACTGCTTTGGAGGATTTGCTTCCAAGACAATGTCTATTTGTGAGGAAAAGGAGATTTTTGTTTTGAAGAACATGTGATAGGATGGCATAAGCAGAGGTATTGCTCAGCAAGAAGCCAAAGGTGTGCTGGAAGATTGAGCTTCAGTGGTGGACTCATACATTCAGAATTTAGTATCAACAAAAATACAGGCAACCCAGCCTGTTTATAAATTCTATACCTTCTCCATAAGGTTTATTTTCAAAGCTTCAATTTCAATTTGGTCTCCTTGCAACTTTTCTCCTGAAAAAAAATTACTTTTGTCA